AGTTGCGGTCAGTAGTATTCAGCTGCACTGTAGCATGCTGTAGTGATGATAACTTCTTCAAGTGGTCAAGAAACACCAAGTGTTCGAGGTTGATGTAGCAGTCGTATCCGGGTCTGTATACTGTAGTAATACTGTAACAGTTGCATGCCATTGCGAAGAGACTAGTTTCCAAGCCATTGTAGTGGATGATGTCACCATGCTCGTCGATAGAGCACAAATCCATAGTCGTGGTCAAGAAATTATGGGGATTTCTGCGCTCTAACCCATTTGAATCCTCTTCCATTTCTAATGGGTCGTTTGATGACGTTGCCGGTGGATCCAATGTTCTCATTCCGTTGATTTGACGTAATGGTTTCATTGACGTTGATGTCATTTCAACTACTCAGATCCAATCTGCTCCAGTACTGTTTGTACGGGTGCCATTGGAGTGATGCGGATTCCTCTATTCATAATGGCCTCGGCGCTCTGAATCACGCCTATCAGCTTCCATGGAGGTGGTGCTAGTGATGGATTTGTTGGTGATGCATGTTTTATGACTCTGTTGAAAGTCATTCAGCTATGAGGACTCGAATATTATCGTAGTCCCCCCATCCTCAAAAGGATAAGGGCATGTGGCATAACCACGTTGGTCTAAGGCGTACGGGTATCTCCATCCCACTAGCTGGAAATCGTAGATGTAGTGCCAGGCCGGGCCTTGAAATCATGCTGTAATAAGATACAGTGTCATCTCCTTAGTGTGGAGGAATATCAATCAGGGTGGGTATTGTTGTAGTACTCTGCTTCGTCGACGGTGGGGGTAGACACTCACGGCGGCAACTACTGCAGAGGATGTGTGTAACCCGTAACGGTTCGAAGAAGAATCCACCCACCCCCTATTCCATATAGAGCCTTTTTTATGGGTGTAACATATGTAACTACCAGGGAACACGTGTGTCTTGATGCACATGTGTCACTCTATTGCTGCCAGTGATTGGGTTGCTCGAGGGTATGAAGATAACTTGCTTCTCCCCTCGTTGTATCCACAGGTAGCAACTACCTGATGTGCTCATCCGTGCTCTTGCTTGCATGTGTGCGAATGATTGCCGGATTCGAGGTCATGACACCTCGGTCTGTCAACCCTCGTGCCGTTGTGTGATGGCATAAACAAATGGAATCGTGGTCACATGATTGGGATGTCATCTCTTGAGTTTGATGTCAAACTGCTCCAATCAGACACTACGGATGGCTGAGATTCATAGTGAAGATGAATCGATCAGCTCTTGTTACGAAGTTGTGTCTCGCTGTCCCAGGCGAGACGTAGTAACCAGGGCCTCAGAATTCTGGCCAAAAAGGCCAAAAAGGCCTGAAAGCCTGTATATTAGGGTGTTTTCTAGGGCATACCTTGATTTTTCAGGTTTTGATTTTTATCAAACCTGAATTTTTTCTTCCCATTTTCTAAGACCTGAAAAATAGTATGTTCTTGTTTTACCAAGCCTGACGAATCAGCCTTACTCGAAATTCGCCTTAACACTGAATCTTATCTGCCAAGGCAAGCTAGAGCACGTGTGAGGGGCGTGACTGGTCCTTGACCAGAATCACGCAGGTTCGAGGCGAGATGGAGCAGGTGTGAGGGGCGTGATTGGTCCTTGACCTGAATCATGCAAGTTCGAGGCGAGCTGGAGTGGGTGTGAGGGGCGTGATTGGTCCTTGACCGGAATCTCGCAAGTTCAAGGCGAGCTAGAGTAGGTGTGAGGGACGTGATTGGTCCTTGACCAGAATCACTGAAGTTCGAGGTGAGCTAGAGCAGGTGTGAGGGGCGTGACTGGTCGTTGACCAGAATCATGCAAGTTTGAGGTGAGCTGGAGCAGGTGTGAGGGGGTTGACTGGTCCTTAGCTAAAATCACGCAGGTAGTCTGAGGAGAATTGTACGCAGTGAAGTCCGATCCGACCTAAGAATCAGAAACTACATAAATGTAGGCCTGACTAGTCAGACTAAAAAAAAAAAAAAAAAAAAAAAAAAAAAAAAGGTGGCCTGAAAAAACATGCCACGCCCAAAACCTGACATTGAGAAACATGGGTTCTCATATGGGTGGCCTCGAGCAATCAACCTCCCTAAAACCAATCTAAGGGCCTGGTAGTAACTGCATCATTTGTTGCATGAGAAATCTGCTCATTCGCATTTACTTTGGTTGACGTGGATTTTGCAAGAGAAAACTGCTACTTCTATGCAATCCTTTATGTGCCATATTATCGATGTATTTCATATCATTGATATAGAACGTTAGTTTGATGCAGGCCGGTTTTGGACATTGGAGATATTCGGCTGCATTGTTGGTGTACCATCAAAATCAGCTTCTTTTGTGAGGTACAAAATTGTGCTTCGTTGGTGTCGAACTAGCCTAAATCGAAGATTTTGTTCCTGTTGAAGACATTTGTCGATTCTACGACTGTTAGAGTAGCACGTATTCGCTGTGTCACGAGGCACAATTGTTGACTCCCATCGAGTAATGCTGTTCTCCCATCGAGTAAGGCCGACGCTGCATTAGTGTTGCCGAATAGATGACGATCGGACGATCCCACGCTGCAACATACTTTCCGCCAGTATATGTCACCGAGTAGGTGACTGTAGCAGATGGATGTGAGTGCCGAGAAGTTTCGGTACCAAAATTCTTGACTTCATGAGGAGATCCAAATTTTAACGGATGAAAAAATTGTAAGTCCAGTCGTCGATGCTGTATTCAGCATAGTTTTCTACTTCTTGTTGTCAAATTCCCTTATTGAAGAAACTCGCGCTCGATCTGGTCCGCTGGTTCAATATTGATTCGACGGTCCAAACTCCAGGCGATCTGAAAGGATTCTTGAGGCTCGTTCAGCTGCATCTAATGTCGGAGTCGACCCATTTTTTGCGGCAATTCGTAGTCTTCGATGTTGAGTTTCCTTCGATCGGACATCTTCAAGAATCTGCTGCACACGAGGTCCGTTTTCACTTGTTCTGAAACTCAAAATCCATCCGCTCAGGTTCGTTTTGTCTCGGATGATCTGATGCGTCGAAATTGAATCGGACAGCTGTTCTATATCGTAGCTTCATAAATTATGGCACAACTCCAAAATTCGTGACGAAGCTAGAAATTCCTGGAAATGCCGTAGGGTGAGTTCCACCAACTTCCGTCGATCGCTTCAGGGTAAATTCTGGAGCCTCGGGTCTGACCCGAAGGTCTTGTAGGAAGACCCTGTGGTGGAAAAAAATTGCCTTGGGTCTTGCAACTCTTGACGGTTGTTTGACTAGATAAGCATGGCTAGCTGACAAAATAAATCGGCGCGCAATGTTGCGGAATGGAGGGCCAGATGTCGTCGTCGGGTCTGACACTCGCTCCGGAATTAGCCCTAAGAGAGTAGAAAATACTCCAAATTTTCTGCAGGTACTTCGGAGACGTCTTCGCATTCGCGAAAAAAAAAACAAAAAAAAAAACCAAAAAAGAGGCTCCGTCGATGCAGATGATTGAACGGTTGGCGATGCTGCTCGCCATCGATGGGAACCCTAGGTGCAAATGCTGGAGGTGAGTCTGAACTAAGTAAAAAAAAAAGATTTACTTGCGCGATCCAAAAGTTAGACTCCATTCTCGGTGTGCTCCTAAAGGACCAGCGGGTAAGCATTGATCGAAAACGTTGCTCTGATTACTAAGTGTCACAGGTCCATGATTTAGCGTAAGCTTGAATGAATGACTAAACAAGAATTGTCTGAACACAAACAAAAAGTCAATGCTATTTAGGGAACATTCATGCGTCGTGTCATCCGACGATGTCAGATGCGGGAAGCCACCCCAGAAAACCATGGTTTGCCAGTGTCGACAATTGCAAGTGCCGGCCTTAGACTGAAAACACTTCTGTTTAGTCAAGCGTGTAGGTTATATTCGCAAACGGTAACGAACAAAAACAAGAATTCCGCCAAAGTGAGGGTGGTTTCATTTGGATTATTACGAGTGTTGCGGCACGTTATTTACGAGTCCGCAAATTCTAGCCCCGTAATGTTTTTTTTTGTGAAACGCATAATCGCGAAGGTTGTTTATTTGAAAGGGCAACTAAATTTCGTTAATGCATTTTGGGGTCGCTTGTTCATTTGGGCGTCGACATGCGGCACAACTATTGCACATTCGACGCAATGCCTGGCATTCCGTCAGATTCGGAAGATACTCCATTGATTTGCCCACAGCACAACGACACCCACGGATGACACGATGTAGGAATTTGCCATTATACCTACGAGAACTCTAGGGAAGGATAACTAGGACTTTCTAAGAGAATTCTAGAAATGAGTGGAACCGTCCGTAGGAACGTCACCTAGAAGTACGGTAGGGATTCTAGAGATGACGGAACACTCCACGCAATAGAAAACATGTCGCATAAGGAAAGTCCAAAACACTCCATAACACATATGATATATCATACATCAATATGTAGGAAAGAGTGTAGGGATTTTCAGAAAAGGAAAAACACACAAAATAGCACACAAAAATAGCAAATAGTAAATGGATGTGCGGCATGTCAAACCCGTCGAGTGTAGAAGCCAGCATTCCCATCGAAAAGTTGAAGTCAGTTCCACACTTTATCCTCATCTTATCTGCTCAATCCTTTATTGCTTACGGGGTACCGTCCACCAGGCGGGCATCAATATCCAGTAAACACCTACTGTATCTAGAGGTAACTTTCATTTTTCTTATCGTGGAGAGGTTGATAAGATTGTGGCTGGCACCTCCATCCACGAAGATTGTATATGGGGTAATCCGCCGCTACACCCTCCTTATTCAACTGGGTTTGGTCGACCGTGTTGTGCGATGTCATCATATGCTATCACATTCTGTCTGCCTCCCATCCCTTGTTTCAATTCGCATATATGGTTTGACTGTGTGTGAAAGAATTTGTGTGGTGTGTGTTCTGGAGTTTGGGAATGTGTTTCGTATTATTCTGTTTGAGCAGGTATTTTTTATGATAGATCTTGCGAAGATCTTTCCAACGCAACAAGAATCGCTTCAATCGGAGCAAGAACGCGAAAGCTATGAAGATTCAAAGTTCATGAGCTTGCGTTACAATTGCGGCAGTTACAAAGTGAAGTTGTGGGGTGACTCTATATGGAGTTGGGACCTTTGGGGTTGGGGAAATTTGTCACTCTACTGTAACAGCTGCAAATTGGTTGGGAACAACCAAGCTAGGTTGGCAAGGGTGGCCAACTTGGATGGATTGGTTGGGAAGAGACAAATGTCAAAGTTGGGGTTCCTATAGGGGGGGAATCTTTGTGCTTATGGGGTTTCCTTGGTTGGGGACTCTCTTGGGACCTTCCCTCTCGTCCCTCTCTTTCTATCCCAACATTTCCCTTGCTCCTCTAATTCCTTGTGAGATTCTTGAACTTTGATTGAACTTTTGAGATTGGGTTAAGTTCTCCTCCTACAGCCTACCCCCCAGTGCGTCAAAAGACATAGCGTCGCGAATACTCCATCAATCGACTTTATTCAAATTGAGAACGGTAGCTAAGATTACAAGCTACAACATATTCGATTTTCGCGACATTCCAACGGCTAGTTTTTTGTCGACGTCGTTTCTTGTGAAGACAACTTTTCTGTCCAGAATTTCGGATTTATATTTTGAGTAATTCTAGCTCCTAAGGTCACCTAGACTCCGTCCTTAATCCTAACAGACCGCATGAATCAGTACCAGAACTTGATGAGGGCCATCAATCACGGGAGAGCAGGTCCCATCTATACTAGGCCCGTTAACAACTAACTTTAAGCATTTCCCTGGTCCGTCGAACTCCCCTTCCCCTGATTCCATTTCTTCCACCCCTCTGGACATTCCGATCTGTGGTGTCCCAGCCTGTTACACTCGAAACAACGACCCTTGAAGGCTGTAACTGCTGGGTTCAAGGCAGCAACAGTGTGTACAGAGGCACGTTCGATTGGTCCCGAGTGCGACTTTCATCGTAAGAAATCGCCCTCGGTTTGAAGAACGAATCCAACCGCTTTGCAACCCTATGCGCCTCGAGTAAGTCGGTAATTTCTTGCACTTGAATGGTCAAGAAATAGCAGCTGCCTAAGAGGGAAGGGGCTCTTGTAGGCCCCACCACATTGATGTGCACAAGTGCCAGAGGGGACTTAGCTGGTCCTATTGCACTGTTGAATGGGAACTTGGAGAACTTGGTCTCCAAGTATGTAGGGCAGCTCCAAATCTCCTTCACTCCCATTTTCACCTCCAAGCTCTTCAGGCTCCCATCCTTCACCAACTTCTATAGCATAGGGAAGTCCACATGACACAGCCCCTCATGCCATGTCTCCCAATCTGCCTCACCACTCCTAGATGAGGCTTTAGCCCATCCACACCAGCAAGCACCTTACCATGTGTCTGTTACTGCTGCACTTTCTTGACTGCTTCCAGGATCCCATCAGTTAGTGTAGTTGCATCTCTTGTTGTTGCTTTGCTGCTTCGTCAAAGGGTCTTCTACACTCCCAAAGCTGCTGCATGCCACTTTGTCACAGGCCTATTTTCGTCGTCGTAGCCACCGGCACAAAAGCACCCCTTGACAGAGCTGCTCTTCTGCCACTTCGACAAAACCACTCTTCTGCCACTTCAACAGAACCACTCTTCTGTGACGAGCAATTTCTGCAGAGCCTCGCCTTGTCGACAAAACTGCCATTCGTCGACAAGCTTTTCTACAGGACTTGTGTTTGCGAACTTCGTTGATGTGCCGCTTCGGCAGACTTCTGCAGCCATCGCACGATCAGGGCTATTCTCAATACACCACTGGGCAGCTTCATGCCTGGAGGTGCCCATCCCTCTGTCCTGTTGAAGCACTTGAACCATGTATGCCGAATCTTCTTGCAGTATCAGCATGTGCCCTCCATTCTGGTACTCCCCCTGCCACCAGAGCTCCCATGCCCCTCAGTATAGTCACCTCGGCCTCTACTTCTGCCAAAGCTTATCCCATGGCCTCGGCCTCTCCAACCCCCTCTTCCTCTGCCACGCCCTGCAGCTCCATACCCCTTAACAGACATAGTGGTAACACTGCCTATCACATGGCGAGTGTAGAAGTCCTCGTGCAGAATCTGCTTCCTTAGCCACTTAGGTGGGTATTGATCTTACTGAGAGTTGAGGGTGGGGGTGAGGTTGTCTCATGAATTGTCAAGCACCGAGATGATCTTGGTGCATTGCTGCAGCTTAGACACACTGCTCCCCGCTGCTGCCATTCTTGCAAAGGTGTCCTTGATCTTGTCAAGGACCGGCTTCACATTGTTCCCAGATCGCATGGAGATGGCAGCAAGTTCTTTCTCAAGCATGATCACCATTAGAAGTGTGTTGGGCTGAATCACATCGCGTAGCAGCTACCATGCCTTTGGCCCAAATTGTCCGCCTCCACAAGATCCTTGATGTGCTCAAACATCCCCATGTTGACCGATTGAAGGATTAGGTCGAACAATACTGCGCTCTTCTCAATCCACCGTTCGTGAGCATCACCCCTCCGACATTTTTTCCACCCCAACAATAATTTGTAGTAGCTTGTAGCGCTTGAAAGCACTCCTCATCCGTCCGCTCCACTCTTCATAGTTAGAGCCATCCAAGGCTTCCACCTTGGATGGTGGCAGTTCACTAGTCTTCTCAGGTACCGATCCCCTTCCAACAGCATCTCCTCCTCTCTCATTCATCTTCTCATTAAAAAGTGTCAAATTTCAGCTCCCCCTTGCCTTCCACACTGAGATTTCTCAATATTTTCATAAGTGTCAGCGTCCATGAAATTTCAGCAGAGTTTTCCCTTAGCGGACCCACATCCAACCTTCATAACACCACTTAGGCACACCCACAGGCCATGGTGGGTCCAGAAGGGTCTTCACACCTCTGTAGACTCCTCTCATTGTCCTTAATATGGCTCTGGTAACACTTGATAGGATTAAGGACAGAGTATAGTTGAACGTAGGAGCTAGAATCACTCAAAATATTAATCCGAAATTCTGGACACGAAAGTTGTGCCCACAAGAAACATCACTGACGAAAAGCTAGCGGTTGGAATTTTGCGAAACTTGGATTTGTTGTAGCTCTTGATCTCAGCAATTGTTCCCAAGTAAGCCATGTTCGCGACGCTAGGGCTTTCGAGGCACTAGGGGGTGTGCTGTAGGAGAAGAACTTAACTCAAACTCAAAGCTCAATCAAGGGCCAAGAACCTCACAAGGAATTGGAGGAGCAAGAAAGAGGTTGGAAGGGAAAAGAGGGATTAGAAGGAAGGTCCCAAGAGAGTCCATAACCAAGGAAACCTCATAAGCACAAAGATTCCCTCTCTATAGAAACCCCAACTTTGACATTTGTCCCTTCCCAACCAACCCAACCAATCCAGCCAAGTTGGTTACACCTGCCAACCTAGCTTGATTGTTTTCGACCAATTTCGCAGCTGCTACAGTAGAGTGACGAATTTCCCAACCCTCAATGGTCCATATTCCATATTGAATCACCCCAAAACTTGACTTTATAACCGCACTTGTACAGTAACACAATCTCATGAACTCTAGATGTTCATAGCTTTCTTGTCCTTGCTCCGATTGAAGCGATACTTGATCCGCCGGGAAATAAAATCTCAAGGGCTATCATCACAAACACCTGCTAAAATATAATAACACCAAACACCTTCACAAACTCTAGAACACACCACACATAAATTATAGTACGTATTTGAACCATACATGCAAGTTGAAAAGGCATGGGATGGGAGGTTGACAAAATGTGATAGCATATGATGACATCACACAACAGATGGGAGGCAGATAGAATAGGACAGCATATGATGACATTGCACAACAGGACTCACCAACGCAGCGGTAACCTTCCAAGCCAAAATGAACCATTATCTATGCTCATTACTGGATGCATGGGGGGTGGTGTATTTGAACGACATTCTCATCTACTTGCGCGATATGAAACAGCACATCGAACAGCTGCAATACGTCTTCGGATATTTTTTTAAATGGGAACGCTTCTACATCAAATTATCCAAGAGCGAATTCGCCCTCAAGAAGGTCCAATTCCAAGGGCACACGGTGAGCGCTCAAGGAGTTCATGTCGACCCAAAGAAGATCGAAGCCGTACGTACGAGGACGACACCCCAAAACGTGAAGAAGTTATGGCATTTCCTAGGCTTCACCAATTCTTACAACAGGTCTGTGCCACCGCATGCGAAAATCGCCAAACCGCTCAAGATTATGCTGAAGAAAAATGAGCACAATGACCCTTGGGTCATCCCTGCCGGGGAGGTGACACAAGGCGGGGGATAAATCTAGCTCACACTACGATTACGGCTAGGAGTTCAACGGCGACGAGGGCAAGCTCCACTAAGCGTAAAGTCAAGCATGCGGTTGACATCAGCACTAATGAAGGCTCGCTAGGGTATTCCCTGCAGCCGAAACATGTTTGTCCCGCGTTAACTTTGCTGTTAAGAAAAGAGCTCTTGACTTCCTAAAACTTAGTTACGCAAGCACTCACATTTTTTTTAACTGCTTTTTCCTACTTGCTATACAGTCTTCCTAGCTGCGCTCACTGCAACTATGGCTGAAGATCAGCAACAGGCTACGACATGTGAGTACTGACGACAAGGGCACACTGGAAGGCTCCCCCCGGCACAGGGCGCGGTAATTAGAGGCGGTCGATGTAGAATAGGAGAGACGCAAGAAGAGGAGAGGAAGGAGAAGGTTGTCGAAGATGCTCATGTCGGCAAGCGGAAAAAGCCACCAACCGGGAGGAGAGTTCCAGCCAAGAGACAGAAGAAACAAGCGGCAGAGGAGGAGGACCATCCGGCAGAGGAGAACTCGGACGATAACTACACCGAGGCGGTGGGCCTGCTGCCTTCATTACCAAGGGAGCAAGCCCAAGGACCCGCAGAAGTAGAATTATAATGCCAGGCCACCATATCCTCAGCAGCGTGGTGAGAAGTGGACGCGTCGGAGCTGGAACATAGAGGAGAAGTTCAAGTGGGTGACGTGCTACAAATAGCTGGACTCCCTTTCTCTGACGGCAGCTGAGGCGGGCGCATTGGCGTGCAGCATCCGACGTTGGGTGGTGCAGGCAAGGGCCGGAGAACATTTCCACTGAAAGAATTTGAAAGGTGGTGCAGGAGACCAAGTATAGAATCTGCAGACACAAGTACTTCAAGTAGAAAGTAATATTGGAAGTACCTCAAGTAACAGCCAATATTAACAAGTTGTAACACCAGAGTCAGTGTTACAGCCTTGCGATACTTCAAGACTTAACCAAGGATCTTTGCTGGAATGGCAGACTAGTA